CCCACACAGGTTCCCTTCTCAAACTTCAGACGTAGTTTTACGCGGACTCGTCATCAGTAAACCCTACACAGGTTTCCTTCTCAGCTCTAGATGCGGTTTTACACGGACTCGTCATCAAAGTAACCCTACACAAGTTCCTTCTCCATTTCAGATGCAGTCTTATACAGACTCATTACCAGTAAACCCTACATAGGTTTCTTTCCTCCAAAGATGCAGTTTTACACGAGCTCATCATCAGGCAACCCTACACAGGTTCCCTCTTTCAATTTACAAAAATTACAATTCAACAGACAATCTCCAGATGGCATCTGTAAGCCCATCCACCTACCAACAGTCTCCAAATGGCATCTATAAGCCCATTCCCGACAAGATTCTGTCACATCTCCAGATGGCATCTATAAGCCCATCCTCCTATCCATCATATTTCCAAATGGAATCTGTAAGCCCATTCCCGCTATCACACTGCTGATATTCTACTATGTGAGTGCAAATTTCTGGGCACTCTAGTGTTCAATCATCTTCTACCTTCGGATTACGAAAGGCACGCCAGCCAATCTACATCCTCAGGTCTAAGAAGATTGAACAGGGGAAACTGTTGTACCCCAAAATTTTCCCTCCCATATTCTTCAAAATTTGTCAGGGTCAATCCCTAAATGGTTCAAAATCTCTCAAGGGTTGCACAGTCCAATTGCCTCATAACACAGTCAAAATTAGGGTTTTGGTTCTTGCAAAGAAATTGAGGTTTCCAAGGGTCCAATCAAGTCTCATATGCCTACATACATTGTCAAGCATCCATATGTCAAGTTTCAAGACTCACAGCATCAAATTGCACAGTCAAAAACACTAAATGTTTCACAGTCAACTGTAGGGGCAAAATGGTCATTTGACAGTCAAAAGTCAAAAATTTTGGCCAACATCTTATTTTGAAGCCACAAACATCATTTGATCAATTCTTGATCATGATTTCTCAAAACATGGCTCAAAAAGTCTCAAGATGCAAACGTTTCTATTTTTGGACAGTTGAAAAGTGAACTGCAAATTGACCAGGGCATAACTTCTTCATTGTTTATCAGAAAAATTCCATCCAAAGCTCATTTTGAAGAGAATGACATTTCCTACAACTCATATTCACACTTCAAGTCCAAGAAATGCTCTCACAAAAAGTTATCAATTTCAACATTATAGGTCATTCTCAAAAGTCAACAAAAAGGCACTTTAAGTCAAAGACCATAACTTGAGATTGGTAAATCAAAATGACATGGGACCAAAGGCATTGGTTAGAGGACTTCAATACCTTTTCAAAATGTCCAAGAACATGATCATAGCTTCAAAATTGAGCAAGATATGCATTGGAGAAGTTGGGAAAGTTTTGGGAACTTTGAAAAGTCAACTTTGCTTCAAAAGCTTCAAAAATGCTAATGGGCCTCAAATTCTTCCTTGAATCATTACCCAAAGCATATGCACGACCCATTGAGCTAAAAATGATTTATTTTCTTATTTTTAATTAATTAATTGAATTTTTATTATTATTAATTCATTTAATTAGATTTAATTATGAGAAAAATATCAAATAATGGTTTTCAAATCTTTTTGTACAGCAAATATTCTCATTATAGGCTAAAGATTTCGTGCACCAATCAACAAGACAAGATCATCCATATTTGGCAAGATTTGCATGGAAAAAAGATTGAAAAAGATGTGATAAAAATCAAATATTCAAAACATAAATTCATGGATCTTTGGGCTTGTTTTTGACCTAATTTGCTTCATGTACTTATGCAAGACCTAACCTAATGCAAGGGGACACGAAAAGCTGCTCACAAGCATAGAACCAAATTGCAAATTTTCATCAAAAACTTGGAATCTGAAATCACATTTGCAGGGCGAATTCAAGGCCTAAAAACGATTCTAACGCATTGTTGGACCTTCCAGTAGTCCATTGGCATCAAGAATCAACCCTAACACGTGAAGAATCCAAGAACACAGGCCATACGGTTTGTCTTGTTTTTCAAATTCGCATAGCATGATTCATGTGCTTTTAATTGGTTTTCTTGTGTGATTTACACTAATAGGTACCTCCTGAAGCGATTGGCATATGTTAATTGACCTAACTCTTCCTAAACTGAGATCTGCCATGGACGAAAATTAGGTTTTCCAAAGCTTCAAAATAGGGCTTTCATGTAGAGGAAAAATTGGACCTTTAGACCCATACCACTGAATTCAGAAGCTCAAGACGAAACGAATCAACACCTCGCGCCCAATTTATTTAATCCATAGGCGTAATCGTTATTTTCATGAGTTTCAATTTGTGGGGGTTTAAAACCCCCGCTATTTGTTTTCTATTTGCAGGAAAAAAACAAGGAAGAAGATGGACGTGGCCTTACATGATTGGGAGGTTCAAATGTTGGCGCGGTTTTTTTGATATTTCAGCATAATGGGCATGTTTTATATATTATATTTCTTTGTCATTGTATATACAAACGCGTTGCTTGGTACAGATGGTGGATGACATGCCTTGTAAACACTGGGACCTGGGTTCGATTCCCAGGTCCCCCCACTTAATTCTTAATTTTTGTTTCAACATATTCACGTGCAGCATATTCTCAATGTCCCACCGTACGTCCACATGCGTTGGCTTGCCAGATGGCATGGTGATTAATCCAAGGGCCTCAGAAGGAACTCCATGATGCACACCGGTCAATGAACGTGCACTCAAGCTGGAAAGGTCAAACAGGCTCTATGCAAATGGGCCAAAATTACTCCAAAAACACCTCCCTTTGGGCCTGATACCCCCCTGGTTTGCATCTTTTAATTTTATTTTTCTCTTTTAATTATAATCCTTTTTAATTCTTTTTAATTGTTTTATCAATTCACAAATAATTAATTTTCATAATAAAAAAATCAGAAACTAAAAAATGTTTTTTTAATTAATATTTAATTTCACCATTTGAATGTTTTTGTAAATAAATGTTAAATAATTAATTTAGTTAAATTAGGTTTCAATTTTAACACTTTTTCTTAATAAATAAAAAATATGTAGAAATTAGGTTTTTGACATTTTTATCTTTTTTTAATTAATTACTTGCCTCATTATTTATTATTATTATTAAATATTTTTATAAATAAATATATAAATTAACTAATTAGTGTAAATTAGGTTAACTTGTATATTTTCTTTAATAATTAAAAATAACTTAGAATTAGGGTTTCTCTTGATTTTAATTTTCTTTATTTCATTAAATACCAAAAACCTAAAAAAAACAATTTCTTTTTTAATTAAATAATTAATTAGACTTTAATTTCAATTTAATTTCGAAAGGGTCAAAACCCTCAGACGTCCTAACTTTTATTCTTTCGCACGATATTCTTTTTTCTTTTCGAATATTATGTAACTGATCAAGGATTGTAATAGTAATTAGGTCTTTTACTTTCCGCATTTTTATCAAACGGGTCTTTGTATTTTGGCGATGTATAGACCCGCGCATTGTAATAGCGTAGGTTTTATCTTTCCGCATTTAAATTTCCGCACTCTTAAACTTCTAAATTGCATGAAAGAATGTATGGTTAATTAAAAACAAGCGTAGCTCACAATACCATGGTCCAAGATAACAATACATGAAAACAACACACAAATTCACACACCACTTCTAGGGTACGCCTCACCTGTTGCCTTCGAAACGTGGTCGTCAAGTATAGGACGTCTTAGTAAGTCCTTATGTCCATGATCCGGTTGCCTCGAAACAGTTGCCTCGGAATAGTTGCCTCGGAATAGTTGCCTCGAAACGGTTGCCTCAGAATTAAAAAAGGATCAAGGACATAAGGGTAGCTTCTAAGGTGTCTTAACTGTTGCTTCGGTGACCACACTGTCCCTAACACTCGAATTGACCCGAACACCTCCAACGGTGGTGCTACCTACCTCTCAATGGTGGGATGACACTATCTTAAGGACATTTATACAGCCTAATTCCTTAGGGTAGGTAGATGACTCATAGATACTTGCTCTTCAAAAACAAATCAAAAACCTTTTCACACCGACACTTTCAAAAAGCTTTCAAAACAATTTTTCAAACACTCTTGAGGACTGATACAAGAGTTATTCTGAAATCTTTAAACGAAACTTTTTCAAACTCACTCACACTTTGAAAAGCAAACACTTTTGAAAACACAATGAGCAAGTATCTAAGAGCCCATGGATAACCATGGATAGAAAGGGTGCTAACACCTTCTCTTTCTATAAATCTACCTCCCGAACCGAGAAACTATCTCATAAGGAATTTTGTTGTGCTTTTGTCCTGTCCATGTTGGAGAAAATAAAAGACGGTGGCGACTCTTGTTTACCGCGACATTTCGCGAACCAGCGTTAAACAATCAGTTCTAAATCCACCGATCACACTAAGATACTTAAAAGGATCAATAAATTATGGAAGACGAGACTCTGAAACTTGGGTGTTAATGTTATGTCTTTGATTTTTTTTGACAAAATTTATTTAAAAATTAAATATCTTGATTCATTGCAATGCCTAAAATTAAAATTTTATTATATTTTCATGGTCAATTTAACTAAAAATGTCATTTCAAATTAATTATATTTTTAAATTTTAATTAAATATTAATTTATTACAATTACACTCTTTAATTAATTAATATAATGTACATTCCTTTCCTAATACTACATTTATGATAGAATAATTTGGTAATATTATTACGTTCCTTAACTTTTTCTTTTAGAGATATGGATGGCAAAAGTATCCATTAGGTTACTTATATGGGTGAACGTGTAAGACACTAATCAACCAAAAAAACACAGATTCAAACCCCACCCCATTATTTATTTGAAACGGACGTTTATCCACTATGTTGCTTCTGGGCAAACGTGTAAAAACTACTTCATGGAGTGTATGTAGAGGTAGCTATAGTTAAGAGTCAAAAGGTGTAAACAAAAACCAGACACAACACAACACGACACACACTTTCATTTCACTGTTTAAACTCTTTCATCCATGGAGAGACTTCTATCTTCCTCCTCTTCTCTTAACACTAACCTCAAACTCAAACCCTTTCTTTCTCCCCCTTCAACTACTCGTTTTTATTCCAAATCATTCAATTTTCTTCCCTCAATTCCTTCTTCCTTCAACCATGAAAACCCTTCTCTATCTTTCTCTTCAACCTCCCGTTTCGCTACGCAACCTAAAAACTCACTTTCTCATGTCACCAATTCTAATAGCCCCGTAATTGAATCTCACTCTCAGCCACTCAATCTCGTCAATGCCGACGCCGGTTTCAGAAAACCGATGGTACGTGTTTGATGTTGTTTATTTACATGGTGTTTTGATGATGTTTCTTTGTATCAGCGGTATCTTCCAGAATATGCTTGTTTTTTTTTTCTTTCCAATTATAGGAATATTTCATTGTGATTGGTGTTGGTAAAGTGGTTGAATCTTGACTTTTTTTTTTTTGGCTTCTTGCTGGTATCAAATCCAATTCATAATCAAATCATCAAACTTTAGCTTTTTAATTCCAAGTTTTTTTTTTTTTATCAGTACATTAAACATGTAAAGTTTCACTTGAAGGGTATTTGAGTGAGTGTGACATAAGTCTATTTGTATTGTCTTATTTGAACTTATAGTACTTGTGAGCTATGTAATAATTTGAAATTTTAGTAAATTTATAGACTCAAGAGTTTGGTTTTGGATACTGGACAGAGAGCTTTGAGACTGTTTGAAAGAGCTTATGAAAACAACCTAAAACTTTTAAGTTGTATATAAGTTGTTTTGAGCTTATTTCCATTAAGTTGGAAATAACTTGTAAAAACAAGTGATAACTTATTTGAGATAGTTTGATTTTATTTTATTTTCTGTTGCAGAAACATCTTATGCTGTTATGCATAAACATGTAGTATATGATAAGCACTTAATTTAGTTGTTTATCCAAACAGCAGGATAGCGGTTTATTGGGATTATTATTGTCAACTGAGAAGCTACTGTTGTTGTAATTTTATTGTTGAGTTTGTTTGGATGAAAGTTACTGAGAGATTAAATAGAGCCAATGTACACGTTGATTTTCTGTTAGATGTTTAAGCTTTCCATTAAAGCTTAAAAAGTCATTTTCTGTGCTTACTTTTTTCCACAGGGAATAACAGTTCAGACATGTGTAATACTCTCTGCTCTTGCTGTGCTCTTAATTCAACCAGTTTTTGCACCAGCAGCTTTTGCTACCTTTCAAACTGCTGCCAAGATCGGTGGTCCTGCAACCACTGCAACTAGTGGAAAGCTTATCCGTGCCGAGCTCCTAAGTAGTGCTTGGACTGGTTTCTTTGCTGGTTGCTTGCACACATTATCAGGCCCTGACCACCTTGCAGCTTTGGCTCCATTGTCAATCGGTCGCACTCGAACGGAGAGTGCTCTTGTTGGAGCCCTTTGGGGTTGTGGCCATGATGCTGGTCAGTTAATCTTTGGCCTAATATTTTTGCTTCTTAAAGATCAACTTCACATTGAAATTATCCAAACATGGGGCACCAGAGTGGTGGGCATTACCTTGCTAGTAATCGGTGCTATGGGAATTAAGGAAGCTTCAGAAGTTTCCACCCCAATTGTTGCTGTAGGACTTGATAATCCTGTGGTAGGAAATAAGAAGATTGGTTTTGCTACTTTTGCCACTGGAATAGTTCATGGACTGCAACCAGATGCATTGATGATGGTGTTGCCTGCTCTTGCTCTGCCTTCTCGCATATCCGGTGCTGCGTTTCTCATCATGTTCTTATTCGGAACCGTAGTTGCAATGGGAAGCTATACGGTGTTTATAGGATCGTGTAGCCAAGCGCTAAAGGATAGAGTGCCTAGAATAACTGAGAAACTCACTTGGGCTTCTTCTCTTATCGCAATAGCACTCGGGTTAGCCATCATCATTAGTCAGTTTTTCGGGTTTAGTTTATATTGATAACACACGGTGAACCTTTATGATCATCATTTTAGTGCTAGAGAGAAATTTTATTGTTTGTAGGAAGTTCATCATTCATTCATGCAAGATGTGATTTGGTTTATGTCTATTAACTCTTGTAGTTGGATTATTCTTCAGCTTAGAACTACTATGTAGCTGTCATGTTTTTAGGTTTCAGTGGATTTTGCAAGATTCTATTTATGCATGTGTTGTGTCTTGGATTTCACATTCTGGTTATGCATGTGAGTTATGGCTTGAATTTCTCTTTTTGCGTGTCCAACTCTATTATTGTTATGCATTTTGTCTCTTCCCACTTTGATAAGCCTACATTGATTCCAAAACACCCCAAAGGGAGAGTCAATAATTGAATCTTTTGCCTTCACTTTCAACCATTTCCATGCCAGAATCTCAACCTCAACCAAATTTAGAGCAAAAGAATGGGTTTTAATTTTTAAACTATCCCCACAAAAAATTTAAAATAAAACTAGAAAGAGAAAATCTAATAGCTATTCGAATTTTAGATATGCTTTTTTTGTCTATTGATTTAGAATATGCGAATAAAAAAATCAATTTTTTTCAAAGAAAAGAGGGCCAAAGCCCATAGAAAAAAGATTACATAGTTAACAAAAGAAGATAAATTTAAATAAATATTGACTTATAAAATATCAAATTAGGATCTAGATGAGACTCCATATTAACCAGAATATTTGCACAAATATTTGACTCACATCAAAACATGCACGTTTCAATTCAATTTGAGCATTTGTTAAATTTGTTATACCAATTGCTATTAAGGATATGCATGGATCAATAACCAAATCAAATTGAACCATATATATGGTTTGATTTGTGTTCTGATATGATCAAATGCCTAGGTATGGCCTAATCCTCTTCTATATCTAAGATGATTTAACATCTTTGCTCCAATCAATTAGAGCAGATAAATGACACCTTTCCTCTCTGCTCCTCAATCGGGGACACATGGTCGGTTGTCCTCCCAGGACCAACATGATCACCGCTGCCCTCGGCAGCACCCCTGCCCTCAGTTGCTTTTGTCCCTTGGTCAGGGACACATGGTATGTTGTCCCCTCAGGCCAACAAGACCATATTTTCCCCCTCAAATAGGTTAGTCTTCATCCCTCCAGCCACACGAGGATAGTCACCCAGAAATGACTAGAATCATCTTTGTCTGTGAGCACCTTTTTGCTCATCATAACGACCAGCTTCCTCCACGGTCTCTTCGACACACGTAGAGCAGACACTCAGAAAACGCTCATAATCGCTTATGTTCGTCATCTCATCCTTGCTCGATGCAAGGGCTAGTTACAGGCACGACTGCCCGTTTTGATCAAGTCTTGACAGTTACCTATTTTTAAGGACCTGCATGTCTAGGTCCAAAAATAGGTACCAATGGCCAAACGTCGGGGGCATTATATAAACCCTCACACGTGTGAGAGTGGGGTATCTAATATTTATCTCTGAAACCCTAATATTTTGCTTGTATCTCTTTGTTCCCACACTTACTTGATCGTCAGAGTGCCTTACAGGTACAATCCCCTTTTTTCCTCAACTTTTCAGCCCGTCAAAGAACATCCTCCGGCCAGCTTGTAGGTTATGATCAACCGATAGGATCACTGGTGCCGACTGTCGGAAATATCTTCCCTGTTTTTTGTTCCCCGGAATCTGAAGACCAAAGATCTTCATTCATCAATCATGGCCGACCATGATGATCACCAATTATCTGGAAGGACTGTGCTCTCCCCGACACTCAAGATCGACGAAAGCCAAGAACATCCTCGTCTCGAGGATAAATTTGGCGCCCGTAATAAATATACTGCGTTCCCGAATTCCATCGACGTTGATCGCGACAACAATCTATTCTTGAATGAATATTTTCCCAAGAACCATGTCGAAAACCAGCCCGAGATTCTACAACTGGTCCCCATTTCACAGAACATCGACCCAACCATAATAGCACTGATCGTTGTCCTTAACCAAACTAACTCCGTCATCCTTCAGTAGAATAAAAGGATGGGGGCTCTGGAGCGAAAATAGTCAAGGTTTCCCCCTCGGAGACACCGACGACATAACTCCTTCAACATATCGCCTCCCCTAAGTGAGAGTCCTCCAAGAAAGGAAAGGATTGACGTTTCTTTCTACAAGAAACATGATCGAGCATCTCCCAAGAAGGATAAAGACTATCCGCTTTCCAAGAAGACAAAGAGCACCTGCAAGGACGACCGCATCTGGTCACAATCACCCAAACTGAGGCGACGAGGGTGGAGCCCCTCCCCTCGACGAGATAATGACGCTCAGGGAGGAAGAAACCATCATTCTCCGCTATCATCTCCAGAAGAGACCGATGACGACGAGTTCCGTGGTTCGTTATCGAAAGAAATTATGGAGGCACGACTCCCGGTTGGGCTCGAGAAGCCGTCCCCATTGGGATCCTACGAAGGTACGACCGACCCAAATGACCACATAAAAGACATCAACACCCAACTTGATTACAAAGGCGTGAATGGCGCGATCAAATACAGGTTGTTTCCAACAACTCTGAGAAAAGAAGCAATGTTTTGGTACAAAAATCTCCCTAACGAATCCATCAGCTCATGGAAGCAGTTGGGGAAGATGTTCTCAAAGAACTTCACAATCTCTCGTCATCATTTGAAGACAGAGGCCTCACTAGAAGTGATCATACAAGGAAAAGAAGAATTTCTCTGAGCATACATCGAGAAGTTCAACAGAGAAGTCGTTCAGGTCTCCACGACTGACAATATGAAAAAGTACTTGCTCGAGCGAAGGTTGTGCCCCCGCAGCGATTTTTCCAAAGGAGTTGGCATAGAAACACCGACCACACTAGATGCCCTCCTCCTCAAAGCCCAAGCGTACATCCAGTATGAGGAGAAAGTGACTGTAAATTATGCTCGAAATCACAACGAAAATGACCTCTACAGCCTCCCCGACGAGAAGAGCGCATAAACAAATCATGTTCCCCGCAACACAACTGCTCAGCAGGCACATGTTCCCCGCGAATACAACTTCTCAGCAGACACATGTTCCCCACGAACACAACTGTCGAGCAGGAACATGTTCCCCGTGAACAAAGCTGCCGAGAGGCACGTGTTTCCCGCAAACACAACTGCTCAGCAGGCACATGTTCCTTGCAAACACAATTGTCGAGCAGGCATACATTCCCCGCGAACACTCTAATCTAGCAGGCATATGTTCTCCGCGAACATAAATTCTGAGCAAGCACATGTTCCCTACGAACACAACTGCCGAGCAGGCACACGTTCCCCGCGAACGCAACACCGAGCAGACATCCTGTTAAAGCTCGCGAGCATAAAGAAGAGAGGCGGATCAAGTCCGTCATCCAAGAGATATTATCGCGTCCGAGCAAAAACAGAAATGAGGCATACTATCTTGAAAACCTGCACGGGGAACAACTTGCTCGACCTTGGAACACCGAAAAACTAAGACAATATTATAGTTAAGATACTGATATAGTCGATGTGTCTCGTTGAAACAACGAACACAGTTTGCCTGACCACGTGTGATGCCCACGTACAAGCATGACACTCCAAATTAAACAAAGAGGCAAGTCTCCACTCTTTTAATGAGCAAATTCTTAGCCCAACATGGAAAACTCAAACGAGCTCCACCGTTGTTGTACCACGATGGCAGAACACCTAACTCGCAATGGGAAGTTCATGTCGCCGAGTTCGAGCCCTTAAAACGAGACCTGAGTTTCGACCCATTCCAGGTGATCACCTTGGTCGTTCGACCAGTCACCCACACTGGCAGACTCAAATACTAATGAGAAAACCCCCGAAACTCTTAATCAAAATAAAACATCTCAGACAGATAAGCATACAAACGTGTATAAACCTAATAAATAACAATATACCATCTACGAGCATGTCCTCGTAAAGATCACGAAATGTCCCTGTTGCAAACAACAAGCGCCAACAACGCATTTTCCTCATCGGCGCACGGGCTGACTTTAAGTCATCACTCCTATTCCTAGAAGCAAGGACTTGGGGGCTCCTGTTCTGGTCTGTCCAAAATCTTAGGCATGGCCCAATCTACTTCTGCATCTAAGATGGCCCAATAGCTTTGGCCCAATCGATTGGAGCAGATAAAAGACGCTTTTCCCCTCTGCCCCTCACCGGGGACACGTGGTATGTTGTCCCCCCAGGACCAACGTGACCACCGCTGGCCTCGGCAGCACCCCTGCTTGTAGCTGCTACTGCCCCCCGATCAAGAACACATGGTCTATTGTCCCCCAAGACCAATAAGACCATATTTTCCCGCTCAAACAAGCTAGTCTTCATCCTGTCAGGCACACGAGGACTAGCCTGTTTGAGCGATAAATTGCGAAAAGTAAAATTACTACACAATTACATCATTAAGGGATGGGTGTACAAATTTACAAATGGGGATTGCAAGAAAATTAAACCTAATTATCTATTACAATCATATTGAATAATGTATAAGAATTGAAAAGAAAATAATGCAAGAATTGAATAAATATACAAGAAGAAAAATGGAAAAGAAACTGATTTTTGCTTGGTTTTTAATGAAAGGGTTTGATTTAATTAAAGAAAAATGATTAATTAAAAATTAAACAAATTAAACCTAAACTAATTAAGAAAAGAAATTAAGTTAAAAAAAGTATTTTTAGGGTTTTTTGTGAAAGGTTTTAAATTTGATAAAAATAGTATGAAAATTAATTAATTAAAGGAAACTTAAGTTCTAAGTTAATTTTAATTAAGAAATCAAAACCTAAATCTAATTATTATTTATAAAAAAAAGAAATTAAATTGTTAAGAAAATACTTTTGTCCTTTTTGTTTTATAAAGAAAATAAAATACAAATGAGCATTTTTAAATATGTAAATAAACAAATAAAACATTTTTTGATTTTTTATTAATAAAAAAATAATAATAATAAACAATAAGAAAACTGAAATAAAATAAAAATAAGAAAAAGAAAAT